TTGATTTCATAAAAAAAGGTTTTGGTTCTTATCAAATTTGTGATGGTGAGCGGATCTGATAGATCGCGATATCGAAGTGAATAGGAAGCGACGATGATGTTTACAGTCAAGGATTCGCATTCAGATATGGAGATGAAGCAGCCAATGAAGGAACGATTCATGACCGTAGAAGAAAGAATCGATTCCAAATTCGCTTTGTTGTTGGAGTTTTTGAGTTTTTGCAGAAAATTGAAGTGAAGAAAATTGGTTGCAAGTGAAAAAGAGGTGGGCGCGATTGGTGTATCAGTGGGGACTGATTCGATTCATGTTCAAGAATCGATCCCAGAAGAAACATATACGATTCCAGAAGAAGAATCCACAGATTCTACTACTTCAGGTACCACTTTTTGACCTGGAACCAAGCTTTCAATTATACACCGAATCAATAGATGTGTGTGAGGAATTGTAGTCTGGTTTTAGTTTTGATGACTTGTGTGATCTTCAAGACAAGAGCTTCCACATTTAACATGTGGAAGAAAGAGGTGAGTTGTATCAGAAATTGACAGCTGTTAATGCCAAGCAAGTTGCACACCATGTACTCGGTAAAATGTATCAACGAGTACAAAATAAGAGGAAGCAATAAAAGTTTCCTAAAGCCTGGAAGATCAAGTTTAAAAACAGATTTGCGACAAGAAAGACATTCGTCGGCGGAAAGCGATGGAATAAACCATTGTTGCAAAAGCAGAAAACATTTGAGCGTTTTAGGGTGACGTTGGAATTCAATTTGTCTCAGCTTGTATGGAAAACAAGGGTGTGTGATACTAGAGAAGACATAACCATGTAGGAAAAGGAGGATTGTACACAAGACCAATTGGTACGATGTGGCAGTATGTATAAAGAGCTTCAGAACATTTTTGACCCAGTGCGTTCGAGCTTGATAGCAAAGCTTCTTCAAATTTCTTGTGTTGATCACCAAGTGTGTGATATATTGCTTCATTCTGGAAAGACAAGTAAGCAAATCTTCGAATTCAAGTTCAAGGGCACAGCAGAGTCGAAGCACCGTAAGCTCACAATCTCCTTAGGACAGACAAAGAAGCATATTACGTCAACAGATGTTAAGCAGCATAAAGTTGGCTTCACACAGAATGTTGAGTTACACACAATTCTGCTGGGAAGAGATGCTTTCCGGGTTGAAATCGACAATTTTTCTTGGAAATTTGAGCATGATTATTCATTGGCTACAAGATTGTTAGAACTGATCATGAAAGAGGACATTTGTGTGGTGCACCAATCTCAACATACAGGTTACGAGTGTGGCAAGATTGCGAATGAGAGGCTGAATGTTGTTTTTACAATATGCTTGGAGATGTGCAGACCGAAGAATGAGGAAGATTACATCACAGTGAAGAAATGGATGAGCCACGTTTCAAGAGGCCTGACACAATTTATGATAGCGGATGTGCCGTTTCGTGTTAAGCACAAGTGGCCATTTAAACTTCTAAAAACAATTGCAGATTTAGCTCTTTGTGTGGACAGTGCTATGATCACATTTAGTTATGCAATTTCTGGATATTCAGAGAGGACGCAATACAGAGACACGACAGAATCATTTCGTTGTTGTTGTTTCCAGCCTGGTCTCACGAGTTTACACATGGGCACTCAAGTTGGGATTGTTTTCAACAACAAAAAAAACAAATGCTGCTGCTCCAAAACAGAGTTATTTTCATGCATTGTTTGGGGAAAATGGTCGATTTATTCCTTAAGTATTTGCAATTAACATTTTTATTCCCCAACTATTGGGGTTGCAGTATTTAATCCCTAAGTTAGTGTTGACTTTACAAATTAATGTTAAGAATAAACGTTTGTCGTTAAATTTTTATCAGGTTGCAAAAACTTCATATTCCCCAAATTGAAAGCAGAGGAACCTTGAATTCCTAACAAGACCAAATTGTGTTCCCAAAATCGATTATTCCCAAACAAACTTGAATTCCGCTTCTTTCTCGTTTGATTTATGGCTAAGATGATGATCTTCTTGTAGGAGCAGGGTCGAAGTTTTCCTCTTCCATGGAGGTTTATTGACCAATTGCTGATTTTGTCGTGATTTGATCCACAACAGACGAGCCATTGGTGGT